AGCGGGAGCACAGGCAAAGCGGCAGAGGCACGGGGGGATGCAAATGGGCGCAAAGAAGCGCGCCCGCTGCAAAGTGACATTGCTGCTGCTCCGGCGGGGACGCAGCTGCAGCAGGCAGTGGCACTAATTGCCTTCCCCAGCTCCATCCCTTCTCCTTGCCTGTCACAGGCAGGATATGCATTAGCACACACTTTCAGGTTATTTCAGGCTACCCCAAGGTAGGAACTTCCAGAGACAGCCTGTGAGATTCATCTATTCGACCAAAAAATGTTGCTTTGCTTTGGAAGATGAGCCTGAGCCCACTCTGGCAGCCACCCCCAACACATGAGTGATGGTGGCCAGCACAGAGTACCGTGCCCTCCTCATACCAATGAACCCAACCACTAAATATTTGCCAATACCCACAAATTGTCCATTCCTGCCCCCAAATTCCCATCATTTGCCCAGATCTGCTCAGCAGTAGAGCTGTCACAGATGGCTGCATCAGTGTCTCTGTGGCCCCAGCTCCTAAAAACCTGGGATAGTGGGAGCGCCTCTGCTTGCTTTTCCAAAGAAGGGCGTTTCCAGCCTTTGCAAACACTCATGGATGTGGCTCTGATGCTTCCAAAACACAAAAGGAAGGACAGAACCCAACCACATTATTAGCTTTAAATATCTCATGACCTTTTACTGCAAATCTCAAGATCTGAGGTGCAGCCCGCCTCATGGTTTGTTAACATTTCATGTTGTCAGCGTGGCCAATGGGTTCAATTAGACTTCATGACGGCATCTGCGAATTGCTGGCAACCCCTCGGAGGAAATCCTCCTCCCTCAGCCTGGCCGCCAGCTCTGACGCTGCCTAAAAAATACCTTCTGAGCCTTGCCGTGTTCCCAGTACCTGCACTGAGCTGCTCGGTGTTCAGTGCATGAGATCTCCCTCCAAAAACTGGGAAAAGGGGAGATCTGGCTCCAGCAAATGTGATGAGGTGGGAGAAAATTGGATGCAAGACCTGCCCTGGGCTCCCCAAAGATGCTCGGGACAGTCCCTGGCCACCCGCCTGCATCTGGGGTGAGCATGCAGACGTACTCGCAGGGGGATCGCATGTGTGAGCGTGGCGATCGCTGCTGTTGTGAGTTAACTGAAGGAGCCTGTAAAACCAGAAACAGGCTATTAGCAATCCATTAGGAAAGGGTATCCAGTTCCAGCCTAGGTAAGCCATTAGAGGAACATCTGAGAGCATTAGGAGAGCTCACTTGGGGCCAGGATGGGGCTATAAAACAGAAGAGGAAACCACACTAATCTGGCTTGAATTACCAACTTAAAAGCGGGAGAAAAATAAAGGATACCCTAAACATTTAATGTTTTATATTTAGGAGACAGAAGGGGAGATTCTGCCAAAAGGAGAGAATAAAAAACCTGTTTAGGCTACAAATATCCCATCTCTCTTCTGGCAGCAGAGAAACTGCCAGCCCCTCTTCCAGAAAGGGAGGAGCATGACTTTAAAGTTGCTTGAGTTTCAGAGCAAGCTCGGTGCTGGTGAGGCGGAGGGGAGTTGGTGGCCACCTGACGTGACGTGATGTGACACAGCTGCATCCCGAACAGTCGGGGAATGCCTGTGCCCAGGTTTGAGGGAGCTGCTGTGAGATGGCACGATGGTGCACAGAGCATCCAGCACACGCCCTGCTGCACGCTCACGTGGAAACTCACCATCATCATCTCTCCATGATAATAATTCCTAGAGCACATCCTCATAATTCCCGGAGCAAATAGCGACACAGGATCTGCTAAGTGGCCTGAGTGGAAAGGCACAGCTGAGCAGGGGAAAGGGAGGGCAAACAGCACACTGGGGCTCAAACCCATCTTTGCAAAGTGGTGGGAAGTGGAGGAGGGTGTCCCAGACCCAGATACTGCTTGTAGGGGAGGGATGCTTGGGCCAAGCATTGCCCGTCTCTCTCTGCGGGGGAAACTGCATTTATGGCTAGCTCGTGCAGCGGTAGTCTCAATAAGATCCACCACTTCCACCACGGACGGCTTCATCTTCTGGTGCCAAGCCCTGGCATTATTAAAATCCTGAAAGGAAGAGCCTGGGAGAAAGCAGACGCTGATTGAATCAGGCCCTACGGTATTCGACAGCTTGACATCCATCTGATCCTATTAGTGCTCATTCGGTCCTGCCTGCTGAGGTGCTGTGCATAAATCAGACCCTGTAAAGATAACGGGAGGCAGAGGGGAGAAAGGAGACCTACTTCTTCTGCCAAGAAATACCACGTGTGAGTGGGGCCTGAATGGATATTTCCAGCTCTGGGCAGTCTCCAGTGCTCCCTTATGGGTTTGCTCCCACAGGGATGCTGGGTTTCCCACAGGGATGCTGGGTTTCCCACAGGGCTGCCAAGGGGGTGGCAGGAGATGCTTAAAACCCACAGCTGGTGCATGGGTGGGTTGCCATGAGAAGGCAGTGTCAGCGTGGGGACCTTAGGCACACAGGGATGTGCCAGAGCATGAGGTCACCCAGCTTCTCCTGGCTGCTGGTGGAGAATTCTCCGTTCCTCGCCAGGCTCCCAAGCTGCCCCGTTGTTAGCAAGCCTGTTGTGTGCAACGGCTTTTCCGTGCTGGCAGCCAGTGGGGACAGCAAGAGCCAAGATGGGGGGCAGCTTGTGGCAAGAGACCTTCACGTCAGCAAGAATCAAGTCACACCCATGCATGCGTGGCACATGTGACCACTGGCACTGGTCCCTTCAAGGAGAGACCCAACACCAGCACTGTAAGACGAGCTGGATGGCTGAGCTAGGCTTGGCCCTGTCAAACCACGTCCCTTCCTTTCCTGTCTGGATTTGGGCGAATGGGTACACCTCCCCGGATGCCAACAAGCAATAGGTCAAGCAAAGCAGAGCTGGCATCAGTGGGGTTCATTTTTGGGTGCAAATCCCTGCATTTGCAAGCTGCCTGCCTGGGCTAAGTGGGCTGAGAGTGCCAAGGGGTCTGGGGTCTGAGCATCTCTGGCTGCTGCAGTGCTGCCATCCCCTGGCGTTTGGGAGCTGATTGAATTAGGCTTTGCAAATAATTCATCTGATGAATAGTGGCAGTTTTCCTCAAATCATCCACAAATCAGATTTTTCATTACCCAGCCAGCGGGGCAGAGAGTCAGAAAACAAGGCTGGTACCTCTCTCACTGAATGCTTGCACTTGCTCACCGAACAAATTATTTCCCAAACACACTTCTCCATCAGCCAGTGATGGGGAACATATCTCTTGCAAGGGGACATTGATTAAAAGCAGTACCTAGGACTGCTGTGCCCTCTCGGGATGCTGGGAGATGAGCCCTTGACAGCCCTCCTTGTACCCCCCACGAGGGCTGGTACCTCAAGCTCGCTCCACAGCTCAGGGTACCTTTAAATAGGAGAAATGAAATTTCTGCTGCCCTAGAACTGCCTTTTCCAACCACGGTGGCCCTGCTGCCAGTGTCATCAACACCACCGTGCATTTTCCACCATCTCTGCCTGCCCAAGAGCACTGATGGAGAGGCTACACCATCCCCTCAGAGGCCCTGCGGTTAGAGGACTGGCACGGCTTGACCCTGCAAATATGATACCTAATACCCAGTGATACAGGGACTGGTCACCCTGAAGGTGTTGAGGTGGGAGGAAGCTCACTGGCTCTCCCACCATTTTTGGGTGCAAACCCTTGTATTTGCAGGGTGCTTGGCTGGATCAGGCCACAGCAGGGTGAGAAGATCAGCTTTTTCCACAACAGTTTCACACCTTGAAAAAAAATGATGTTGTTTTTGGTATTTCCCATTAATTCTTCCCCTTTTTTCCCAGCTTTTACAATTTGAGCACTCCTCCCCCAAGTGAAAAAAAAAAATCCAGAGCAAACTAATCCCCAAACCCCACCTCTGCTTTCTTACCCCTCGGGATGCTCTGTGGATGTTCTTCTGCTCCCAAGAGGGAAGTGAAGGGCAAAGAAACAAGCAGAAAACCCCTCTCCCAACTCTTCTCTGATTTTCATAGAATCATAGAATAGTTTGGGTTGGAAGGGACCTTTAAAGGTCATCTAGTCCAACCCCCCTGCAGTGAGCAGTTCAAAGCCATCAGCAGACGCTTCAATCTGAAACACGACCTGCAGCGCTGCCTCGTCAAAAAACCCAACCAAAGCAGAACAAAAAAAGTCGCCGAGACACCGACATCTTGCAGAGACATGAGCAAAGCCTCTCATCCCCTCTCTCAGCTGTTTGTCTCCTCAAGAAGATCTTGCCGGCAGAAAAACCTGCTTGGCTCTGTGATGCAGGTGGTGAGCTCCCCAGGGAGTGGGTGCTGCCTCCCATTTGTCTTCTGTTTTGGGAAAAATACTTTATCAAGCAAAGCACCTAATTGGCTTTCAACTGGCCCAGCTCGGCACAGAGGGGATGCTGGATGAGCCATGCCAGTGTAGCAGCACCTCTCCTCGAGCGGCAGATTGCTTTCGTCCACAAGCTGAGCATGCAAGCAGCACACAGAGGGGAAAAAAAAAAACCAGCTCGTTTGTTATCTTCCTGCAGCTAACAAATGAAATCTGTCCTCTGGGTTGCCAAGGATTTCACTGACTATTTTTTTTTTAAAGAAACAAGAAATAAAAGTAAGAAATACGATAACATCACGGCAATCGCTCTGTGACTGTGCTCTGAGTTACGGCGAGCGGTATTTTATCTTCAGTTCAAAATCTAAATGTGGCAGAGGCGCATTTAAATGTGGTGACATTTATACTTTAAATGCCTTTTACATCTCGTTGGCAGGTTTTATATAGAACATATGTATGGAAAGTAGATAGAGGCAGTGGAAGAAAATGCGGAGCGGGGAGAGCCTGCAGAGCCATTTGTAGGCAGAATGTGAGTTAAAAGAAAGATGGAGAGGAAGAGAGAAGGGAGGAGAGACAGAGAAGGAGAGGAAAAGGATCTGGATTGCCTGGGCAGTAAATAGACATTTTTTTTGGTCCCTGATCACTTGTTCCCAGTGCAACTTGTTTCCAGCCACGACCTTCCCCCCACTCCCTCCCATCCCAGACAGCTCAGCATCACTTACATGTTGCCACTGGTCCAGGATGAGGGGCCGATACCGCAGGAAGAACTTGAGTGGGAAAGACTCGGGGTCGGGCCAGGATGAGGGATTTTGCCATGACACTTCCAGCCTCCGAGGGTTATTGGGCACAGGTTTGGCCACCACACTCTCTGGAGGGTCCGGCTTTACTGGAAGAGAAGAGAGGGGCTGGTAGAGCTTTGCACTTGACATCTTTCCTGACACCCCCCAGCACAGCTGGCTGGACTTTGCACCATGTGCTTTCCAAGGGGAGCAGCCAACACGCAGAGCATCCTTTTCCCAAACTAATTAGATGCAAATCACCTTTTCTTGTCCAGGTCAGTGGTAAGTCTGTCCTGGGTCAAAATAACCACCGTCAAGGAGCTGCCAGTGCTGGAGATTCACAGAGACAACTTGGCCAGGGCAGAGCATCCCTTCTTCCCAGTCCTACTTGGGTCAGGACAAGGAGCCCATCAAGCCCAAATCCTGCACTTTCCTCACACCTCCTGATCTCCGGGAGTCTGACCCACATCGAAAACATGGCAGTTTGGCCCTCAGGTTTAGGGCTGGGGTTTTGGGAATTCAAGATGTTGGCACATCATATTTGCCAAAGGTGAAGGATTACTGTGGTCACCTTCTACCCTAGGTACCTCTCTCTCAGCCCTGCTCTGCTTTTGGGATACAGGGATATTTTCTTGCTACCTAACAGGCATTTCAAGCGAATATTAATTGGCTGTGAACTATGCAACACGTTTTGAAGTTGCAGTCACTCTTAGAGTGCTGGGAACAAACCACAGACAGGCTGTGATGAATGGCATTTCTAGTTGCAAAGCAAGCCTTGCTCCTCGCCAAGGGTTTGCTCAACTCCTGACAGGCCAAACTCCCAATCTGCAGTAGCAAAGCTACAAAAAGACTGACATTTGGGTACACCCACACTTCTCCTTTCTCATGGCCAGGAAAGAGGTGGGCACGGGGAGCTGGGCACATAGATGTGCCTGGGGTGGAAGAGAGCTCTCTGTGCACTCTAAGAATAGCAATGCACACGCGTTCTCGTGTCCCAGGAAGGCTCTTAACCCCTGCCAAAGTCTACATGCAAGCCAAATGATCCCTCCTGGTCTGAAAATGTCTGGACTGAGTAACAGTCTGCCCACCTGGAGCAGCAGCTTGTGAAGGAACCAGCATCAAACTCCACTCCCAAGCATGGAGTAAGGATGCTGGGGCTGTGGGGAGCCCCCTTCTGCCTGGCAGAGCTCCTGCCCTGCACTCAGAGGTCTCCTCCATGCTGACCCCTGGGGTTCACCTGCTGTGGATGGGAGTTGATGTCTACACAGAGGCTTTGCCTCCCCTGGGAAAGGAAGGAGGTGGTGGTGGCGAGTGAGCTGCTCCCTTGCTAGCCTGCCTGCCTGCTGCCTGCATCCCTGCCCTATGCATGAAGGGCATCTCCCTCTCTGCTTGAAGCTGTATGGGACCAGGTGCTGAAGTGGGGCCAGTTTGCTGCTGGTAGAGTCGTGTCTGTGCTGTTTGCCGCCATCTCTACTCCAGGATAGTGGTGGCATTGCAGCAGCTCTCCCCAGGAAGACACCCTCCCTGCACCACCACTTGCTCCTCTTGGGAGAAACCAGCCTGGGATGCTTTCAAACCCACTTTCTTGCTCACGGGTGAGGCAGAGGGGGGGCTGCTGAAATGAAGTCACAGCCCAACCACTTTGCTGGTGAGCAAGTAACCCATGGGACTGACCATGGGTGCCTAGTGCCACCTCCCGGCTCCCACTGATCCCTCTCTACAGTGGGATGGGATATAATTTTCCATTTACAGCTTTATCCTCAGGAGCAGGGACGACTTGCTGGGATTGCGCTGTGCTGAGCTACTCCAGATGGCTGTGCAATTCCTCTGCTCACTTCGAATCCCAAGGCTTGGGCTGGGCATCAGCTTCCATCAACAGGGACTTGGAGTCCAAATGCATACGGAAAAGTATAAATCCAGCGCTGGCTCAGCAAGCTCGGTTTGCAGAACAAAAGTCTGTTCGACTGAACGAATGCAGATGACTGTGACCTGTGGTTCTGCAGTGAGGAAGTGGGAAGTAAAGTGCCAGGCTGGGGATGGACGCAATGGGATGCTCCCTGGGGTAACGCAGGGAGCCTGGCCCTGCTTTTTGGCGTGCCATCCTGGGAGCCACAGCAGAGGGATGCTGAAACGCAGTTTTGCCAGGCAGGGTGCATGTACTCGGGCAGCAATGAGAGATGCCACTGTGCTGGGTTAAAAAAGTGCCCTGATGCTGAAGTTGGAGTCACCTGCCTGTTTTGCAGGGATGTGACCTGCAGGCCCGCTCCTGTGGGTTGAAGGCTGTCCGTGGCGTGCAGGGAAGGGCTGCCCTGGCTCCGAGTGAGCCCAGCAGAGGCCAGCCATTGAAGGGGGATGCGCTCCTGGCTGCGGCGAGCCTTCAAACGGCACTGACGGTTAATGGGAAAACCAGCAGTCCCTGCTACCTCCCCACGTGTCCCCCCACCATCCCTGGGACTCCCGCCCAGGCTTGAAAGCACAGCAGTGCCAGCTCCTCCAAAAGTGCAAAGCCAAAGCTATTCTTGCCACGTCCCTCTGAGGCAGTGGGGATGCAAGAGTCAGGAGAGGGGATGGCACCTCCAGCAGCCAGTCCAGCGAGGACAGACCTAGCTCTCCTAGGACAGACCTCATTACACTGTGCTCATCATGGGAAACATCAGGGCTGGTCCCACAGGAGCCGGGAGAGGAGCAAGGGGAGACAGGCTGTGTCCAGATCCCTGAATTCTACATGACCTTGAAGGAGTCCTTCATCCTCTGCAGCCTCCTGGGTTCCTGCTCTGCACATGGGGACGAGCATTCCTCCTTTCCCAGCCTTTGTCTGCCTCCATTTAGCCCGCACACGGTGAGGCAGGGGCTGTCTGGCTGTACATCAGCCAGAATAATAGAGCCCTGTCCTCGGCAAGGGCCTTCAGGCAGTAACGTAATAAAAGCAATAATAGTAATAATAATAATGGACGATGGGCATTAGGCTGAGTACTGGTTAAGCGGCTACAAAACCAGATGTAATATTATCCCACAGAGCTGAGGGAGCATCATCAGACATTCCTGGGAAGAGGACTTGGCCAGGCAACCCACAGCTCTTCCCACTTCATTTTCAGCTGCCGTGTCCAAGTGAGGTCTCAGCGTGCAAGAAAAGCCACGGAGAGCAGCTTTTCCTAAAGGCTCTGCACACTCGCGCTTAACTGTGAGTCTTTAGCTATCCATTGCCCCTGGCTGTTGTTAGACACATCTCAAAATGAAGCCAGTGGTTCAGAAAGACAGCTGAGACCCTGCAGCATGGAGGGGCCCGTCGCCCATCCCACCTCTCCAATGAGCGCTAAAATGGATCCCTTGCGGCCGTTAAATATCCCCTGGCATTTTCTGTGAGCAGAGGGATATTAAACTCCATGTCTTAGCCAAATGTCAGTCTAGGTAATTTAATTCTGCCTCCCTAAGTAGTATGAATTGAACTGACCTTCTGCCTAGGCAACTGCATACCCGTGTTCAGGGACTCTGACTTTCGTACAGACATGGGCACGTTTGTCCTCATGTAGCCCCTCCGAGATGCTCTGCATCTTAATCACCCCAGAGCCAGAGCTGCGAGAATCAAATGACCTTCCCAAGGTCACACAAGGGATGGGTAACAGTTTTGGGGAAGGCACCCATGCCTGCAAGGCCCCATCCAAGGTTGCCTTCCTTCTTTTAATGCTGTGCATCTTCTGCTGCTGATTTGCCCAAGACTCACAGGAAGAGAAAGGCGATGAGGTGGGATGCCACTGTTGCTGCATGCTGGCCATGACCTTGCTTTTCTGGGGGATGCACATGCCAGCTACCTCATTCTTGGGCTGAAACACAAGGGAGGAAGGTAGGATTTTGTCCTGGAGGGCCACAAATGTCCCCATGCCATCCTAGCCATCACAAGGCAGGTGGCAGCTCCCAACACACCACCTCACTCCTCCCTGGCACCTTCCTCTGCCTCCAGGCCCTCTCCCCTCCAGCTCCTCCAGCCCCTTTCCCACCTCCTCCTGCCTTGGGCTGGAGCCCTGACATTTGCAGGGCTTTGCAGAACCCTGCCCTCCCACATTTACCTTTATTAATATCGATACCTTTGCAGAAGACACAATTACAAAAACAACTTCCAGGAGCAAGATGAGGAGGAAGGCAGCCCAGATCTCCTACCGATGAGAGATGGGGGCCAGAGGGCTGGAAAAGCTTTTCCAGTCATCATTGAAAATGACAATGCAGAATGACCCCTCACAGCTGGCCGCTAATAACCAGCACGGCACGACTGCCAGCAAGGCATGGGCTTGGGATAGCAAAAGAAAGTACCAGTCATTTTCCACTCAATTAGAGCCCGTCTTCTGAGTGGCTGGGGAAGGGATTTTCTGCTGGGGGCTCCAGGGAGGGAGAAAGGAGAGAGGAAGCAAAACCAAAGGCGGTCACTCCTTCCCAGGGGTCTTTTTGTGTTTGCCCAGGCTGGGTGGGTGGTCCGACCCAGCAGTGGATCTGCTCCTGGCACAGATGGTGCTGGGAGAAAGAGCCTCCAGCCCTGCACTGCTCTTGCGTTGGCTCCAGGCTGCACCATCCCCAGCAGGGCATGAGATTAGGGCTTCACACTTGGGGTTTAACCTCTATGCAGAAAGTTGTGATGGTTTTCTCTAGGCTGAGATGAAAACACAAGGTGGGCTCTGCATCCCCAGCCCTGGGATTTCAGGTGAAGCATCATGCAGTTGCTGGTTGACACTGTCTCTCCATTTCAGCACGATGCGTGCAATGCTCCCACACGGCAGTTTTCCAACGAGCCGATGCAGTGGCTTTGTCCTGAGCCGTGGGTTTTCTAGCCCTCCATCCATCAGAGCGAAACCCAGCATAACTTCCAAGATGAGGTCTCAGCCCACTTGATGCTGGTAGAGATCTGCAGGGAACCTACTGTGTGTGAGATCCACGCTGCCAGCACCCACCATGCTGGGACACGTTTGCAGCCACAGAGAAATGAGTCAGAAGAGATACTGAAATGCAGAAGTTTTTGCAATGAGAGCAGGCAACCTGGGCAAAATTGTGTGCCGAAATACACTAATGCAGTGCACTTGTTTTAGTTGGAAACACCAGGATGGCACAAGGAGAAGCTCCGTTCAGGGTAGGTGGCTGTTGATCAGCGGCAGCTGAGTTCATTCTGTAATGACTCTGCTCAGCCTGTTGACTGCCTGCTTGAACACCCAATCACCACCACTGCCTATGCTTCTTATGCACAGCAGCTGTACCAAATTCTGAGAATTCCACAGCTCTACAGAAAGTGGAGATTTTAAGGTCACTAGATATTGAAATGTTTATGGGAGCAGGCTGGCTCTGGGGTGCAGGACACAGCCATTCCTATCAGCACAGACCCATCGTCCCTTCCCCGAGTGCCATCTCAGAGGGTGTTAAAGCATCTGCCAGGTGGTGCCGGGGCGGTCTCACCTTCCACCGTAACCCCTGGGATGTGTCCAGGCACCCTGCCCCCCCGCAGGCACTCTTGCAGGAGGCAGCAATATTGCACCCATGCTAATGGCTGGCCCGGGGCAGTGCTGGCCTCTGCTCACCGCTCCTTCAACCTGGGCTGAGTTTGAACTGCTGGTCTGAATCCGGCTTGTGCTGGTGCCGGGATGCCCGGGGCTCGCAGCTGGGTGTGCTTCCCAGGGGGGTTGCCCTTGTGTGCTGGATGGAGAACCAGATGTTTGGGAAGCCAGGCAGGGCATGGGTGGGATGCAGATGTTACAGGACGATGCCCTGAACTCCTGCAGGAGGGAATGCAAGGAACTCAGAAAATGCAGCTTAATTGCTGCCCTGGGCCCCACAGGCTGGAGGTTACCTTCATTTTTAAGGAGTGTATCTTTCACAAACACAACAATTTCCACTTAAAGGCACCCAAGTGACTGAAACTCCACTGCTTCCCTGCTAAGTTCTTTGCCTTGTTATCAACGTTTGCAATGCACCAACACAAGCTTCGGATATGGCTGCAGGGACATGGCAGGACAGTCCCTGCTCCAAAATAATTTCCCTGCTCTGTTCAGAGCTGGCACCTCGTTTCTTGTTTGATGTTTTTCAGGATTTGAAGTACAAAGGGAAAATCTGGGATAGCAGTGAAGCTCATCTTCTTGCACTCCGGCACTTCCAGACGCTCAGGACTGGGACATGCAGCACATTGAAGGCAAAGACTGACTGCTGGCTGCACTTCAAGGATTCGTTTATTTGTTTTTCTGGTCCAATAATTGCCACATGTAACCAGCAAATTGTTTTTCAATGTGTTTCTGAACTCTATCCTCTCCCATTTTTCCTATTATTTGAGGACGAACACTCTTGTCACTGCACTGGCTGTAATCTGTCTTTGGCTGGTGGCAAAAGTGCTGTGCTCAGCTCCCTGCTTTGCCATCCTTGGCACTGAATTGCCTCGTCCGTGCCAGTCAGAGGAGCACCTGCACCACAGCTCTGGACACGGCCAGGCAGCATCCCTGTGGCACAGCCAGCAGCATGGACACCCAGGCCCACTGCTCCCTGTCCCGCATTACACAGCATTTGTTGCCCAGATGGGGCAGTGAAGAGGTGCAAAGGGGGGAACAGGTTTTTTGGGAGCATGTTAGGTAAGGGCTGGTGGAGGATGACTTCAGGAGGGCTTTATCCTGCCTAGGGATGGGGGCAAGAGGATGGGACATTTTAATTTATCTTCCAGTCCTAATTCCCATGGCTCTACTTCCAGCACAGACACCAAACCTCTCTTACAGGAACACTCATAGGGGCAAGACGGGCAATGCCATTTGGACCAAACCAGTTTCAGAGCCCTCAACCCTGGTACATGGCAGCTGCTTTCCCAGTCCCCAAGTAGGGACCACAGGAGACCTGGACCATCAGGATGGGACCAGGCAAGGCACTAGGTCACCGATGGGACCAGCATGGGGGCTGTCTGTGGTCATCCTGCCTGGCTCCCCCAGGATGCTGAGGTGCCAGCATCACTCACAGCAGGGCCACGAGAACCAGGGCGGTACAGGGAGGATGCCAGCATGGTTCAGACTGCAGCTCCCTCTCATGCATGGATAGGCAGAGGCTCCACTTGGAGAACCTGCCCCTTCCCCGGCCCACCGCTTCGGCAGGCAACAAACACTACGTGCAGAGCAAGCCAACCCCAACACCGTCTCAGAGAGGCCAGTTGCTGCCATGGAAGTTACCTATGGTGAACTCGTCAAAGGTGAGAGTGGTGGAGTTTTTGCCCAGAGCATTCGTGACTGTCAGAGTCACCTTGTACTTCACCGTCGAGAAGAGCTGGAGGTATCTGATGTGACACCTGTTTTTTGGAAAGACATCCTTCTCGCAGACCATCTCTCTCGTGCCATGTCTGGAAAGCAGAGGCAAGAAGAGCTGTTACCTGTGGAGCAGTGCTCAGTGTGAGAACGCACCCATGCTGCTGGATGGAACTAGCGTATGGCAGAAAGGAGCCCAGCTGTGCCAAATATGCTGAAAAACAGTGGGCACAATCTCCACTGTGGACAAGTGGTGCAGACAGGATGGACTGGGGGGGGGCGTAGAAAGAGGACCTGGGAGCTGGTGACTTTCCTGGTCCCCTCTGGGGAAACCGGAACTTTCTGGGGACAAAGCCCTAGGGCCAAGCACCCAGTTTGGATGTCCCTGGAGCATCCTTCCCCAGGCCTATTTCTGGGACATCGATCTCATATGCTCAGCACAGGTCAGACCCACTGCCCCAAGACTTGACAGCACTGCTTGAAACTTGCTACAGGGACAAAAACTTGCTCCACTGCACCCTTCCTTCCCAGGCACTTACATGACAGAGATGTTGAAGGAGTTGGGGATGTAGGTGGGAGTGGGCAGGTGCCAGCTGCAGTAGAAACCCTTCGGGTAGTTGTTGGACCGGCACATCAGCACTGGCTCCTTCGGAGGGGCTGCCAGG